AAAAAATGCTTAGTTTATATATGAAGAACCAATTACCCTACCTTTAACTTTGTCTGTAGCCAAATTAATTTTTAATATTTAATATTTGTAGCTAAATTTATTTAAGATCAGAGATGTGAAATATTTATAGAGAAAGAGCTGATGATGAACTCAATAACAAACCCCATGGTTTCACTTGTAATAACCAAGGCCTCTAGGTTACTTTTATAAACCTGATAGCTATAAATTCAGAGGTAAAATGAATAGAGGGATTTAAAAAAAAAAAAAAAAAACCATGAACCCAAGATTAAAATGACTACCAAAGAGACTAGTTAAATAGATTAGTCCCCTTGTAGCAGTCATTGATGACATTTTAAAGAACAAATAGACCAATATGGAATCACATAAAGCAAGAAAGCACTCTGATGGAGGTGACACTTGGGACAGGCTTTCTTATGTTTTTGTTTTTTTCTCTGAAGCACAAACTCTTTGTTCATACCCCTATGTGTCATAACTGACTAAGCCAATAAATTGGCTTCCATATAAGTTTACTTTTTTTAATTTGTAAAGTAGAAAAATGAAAGGACAGTTCTTCTTTACTATAAAACTAGTGAAACTTATTTTTGCAAGCTAAAACTATACCCCTGCTGAAGATAAAGTACTGTGGAAGGTCTAAAACTATTAACAGGTAAAAAGCAAATCTGATTTTGTAAATAAAAACATTTCATAGGGGAAAAAAAAAAAGCAGCAGCAGCCCAGGGTTCAGCCATATCTATAGACTTTCATAGTCCTTTCAGCATCATTAATTCTTAAATCTTAGAATTTTAAAAGAGGAAAAATCTTTATAAATCTTTTTGTTTGTTTGTTTGATAGAAGGTCTGCCTCTATCACCAGGCTGGAGTGCAGTGGCACAATCTTGGTTCACTGCAGCCTCGACCTCCCTGGGCTCATCCTCCCACCTCAGCCTCCCAAGTAGCTGCTGGGACCACAGGTGTGTACCACCATGCCCCACTAATTTTTGTATTTTTATTGAACATGAATCTAGGAATCCACATCATCTTAAAATGCAATATATGTATAAAAATGATAACATAATAAGCAGAAAATCAAGGCATGAAGAAAAGAACAGTAAGAGTAGAATTTACCAGGGCATGAATAATCTCATGTTTCACTGTGGACAACATCCCAATAAACTCCTGAGGCTGAGTAGAGATCATATTTGGACACAGGTTAGCATATCCTGCTATTGGCCTGTCAAAACAGACATTGAATTTTTAAATTATATTACAGAACAATATTTATTAACACTTACTTCTCCATCAAACACTGCTCAAGGACAGAGAAATCTTTGCGAAGTATCAAATGTTACTTTGTACCATCACTATCTTTTACTTTCAAGACATGTATCCTCTGCTTTCCTATGGCATGGCAAATCAAAACTTGTTTCCACAAAAGGGCATCACTGATTATACTTTAAAGTGATTTTTTGGAATATATCAATATAATGCCCAAAAAAGAATGAACTCAAAGGCTCAAATTCTAACACCATTTTACTTGCAAAATCCATATGTGACTTCAGCATTTCATCTACGGGCACGGAGACAAGCAGGCAGAGAGGGAAACCAGTTATAAAATGGGGCAATCAGTGAATGGCTCAGGCTGCTGAAATGTGTTGACTCTTCTTATCTCTGTTTGCTATTCCCTTTCTCCTGCTCCAACACTGCCTACATTCATATAAATATTTCTACCTTCCCACCATCTTCTTCCAAATTCCACACCATTTAGAATCTACACACTTCTACATCTCTCTCTGTGCCTAGAACCTGAGAGTCCAAGGGCAGACTGGGACTCAAGAGTCCAGAGTAATTCAGCTCCACCATGCACCTACCTGTCTTTCAAAAGCTGTGGCCGATGAACAATGCTAAACAACTGCAAGCTCAGCTCTCCTACCACTACCTTAACATTTCACATAGATGTACCGCAAAGATCATCCAAGTATAATTGCCTATTTACAAAGTACATTTATCTTATTCAAACTTTTTAAATACTGTATCTTTTCTTCATAGGTAATAGGCACAGACTTAGAATTAGAAAAAGTATGACTACAATTCATTTATTTAAAATTTGCCACAGTGACCTGTAAAATACAAAATGGATTTCACTTCCAGGCTTAAAACTCTTCAGGGGCTTCCTATAGCACTTAGAATAAAACAATCCTGTCTGCCTCTCCAAGAACTTGTCCTCCAACACAGTGTCCACTGAAGTGGCTTCTGACAGCAACAGGTACACATGGCTTTTGCCTTGCATAAGCTCTTCACACATCTCTTTATTTGGCTAAAGCCTATCAATGTGCAGGTTGCAGCTGAAGGTTCCCTTTTTCAAAGAGGTCTTCCTTGCTCAATTCATCTAAAGCTCTTTTATTCTATTCTATGTGACAGCATTCTATTTATTTTCTACAAAGCATTTATCATACTTTGAAATCACATATTTATTTGCAGGAATATTTAATACCTGTCTCCCTCTGTAATCCATAAGTTCCATGAGGCAGGTACACATGTACATCTTGTTTACCTAGTCTGTTGGCCACTCAAATATTCATGAAATGAATTAATGCAATATAGCAATTCTAAGGGAAGGTTTCACTTCCCTGAAAACGAGTAACTTAAAGCCAGGGGCAGTGGCTCATCCCTGTCATCCTAGCACTTTGGGAGGCCTTGCCAGGCAGATCACCAGAGGTCAGGAGTTTGAGACCAGTCTGACCAATATGGTGAAAACTTGTCTCTACTAAAAATATAAAAATTAGCCAGATGTTTTAGTATGCACCTGTAATCCCAGCTACTCGGGAGGCTGAGGCAAAAGAATTGCTTGAACCCAGGAGGTCGAGGCTACAGTGACCTGAGATCATGCCACTGCACTCCAGCCTGGGCGACAGAGCAAGACACCATCTCAAAAAAAAATGTAACTGCTTTTTCTCATAACAAATCTAGGAGAAGTTAGTATAACTAATTCACGTGCATGAAAGGACCTTTGCTAAGGTGTTAAACATCTATCCATTGGTCAAATGGCTCAAATTCTAACACAGAATTCATGAATTGGTCAAAATCCTAGAACTCTGGGAGGCCAAGGCAGGCAGATCACCTGAGGTCAGGAGTTAGAGACCAGCCTGGCCAACATACTGAAACCTTCATCTCTACTAAAAACATGAAAATGAGCCGGGCGTGGTGGTGCACGCCTGTAGTTCCAGCTACTTGGGAAGCTGAGGCAGGAGAATCACTTGAACAAGGCAGGTGGAGGTTGCAATGAGCCGAGATCACGCCACAGCACTCCAGCCTGGGTGACAGAGAGAGACTCCATCTCAAAAAAAAAAAAAAGATTACCTCTCTCTTTGAAGTCAGTTAATCTCAAATCTAATCTCACCTAGATTTCAGAATGTTACATACAATCTATTCTTAGACATATGGCAATTTCTACGGCCTTTAATTAATTTGTCTGGTATGCAACAGGCAATCTTCTGCATACATAACTTTTCGTTTCAAGGCTGGGCTGCTTCACAGGAAAATTTTTTGAAATCTTTTGTAAATAAAGAGAACTCTGAATTTTCAAGTAATATTTAACTAAGTGAATCACATATAACAAATGATATTAGATGAACAGTCATTATTAACATTTTAACAGTTTTAGCATAGAAGGTGCTAAAATTAAAGTTCAAACTGTTTCCTTAGAGTGGTAGTCACCTGGACAGAAAATTCTCTTGACAGTAGACTTTTTTTTTAATTTATTTGTGGACACAGGGTCTGGCTCTGTGGCCCAGGCTGGAGTGCATGTGGCACAATCACAGCTCTCTGCGACTTACAACTCCCAGGCTCAAGTGATCCTCCCATCTCAGCCTCCTGAATAGCTGGGACTACAGGCGCATGCCACCACTCCTGGCTAATTTTTGTATTTTTTTTAGAGATGGAGTTTCACCATGTTGCCCAGGCTAGTCTCAACCTCTTGAGCTCAAGTGATCTTCCCACCTCAGCCTCCCAAAGAGCTGGAATTAAAGGCGTGAGCCACCGCACCTGACCTTTTGTTTTTCTTTTTTGTGGGGGACAAGGTTTCACTCTGTTCCCCAGGCTGGAGTGCAGTGGCATGACCACAGCTCATTGTAGCCTCAACCTCTCAGCCTCAGGCAATCCTCCCACTTCAGCCTCCTGAGTAGCTGGAACCACAGGAGCATGCACGACGCCTGGCTAATTTTGTTTATTTTTTGAAAAGATGAGGTCTGTGTTGCCCAAGCTGGTTTTGAACTCCTGGGCTCAAGTGGGCCTCCCACCTCAGCCTCCCAAAGAGCTGGGATTACAGGCGTGAGCCACCGCACCAGGCCCACTTAACAGCAGACTTGTTCTCTGGAATACTGGCAAAAACAATAGGATCAAAATGGAACAGGAATGGCAGAAAGAAAAGTCAAATGAAGTGTTTGGCTTTTCTCTCACTTTGACTAAAAACTTGGGTTACCACATTAATAACGGTCTAATCACTGTCCCCTAACGCCACTCCAAATCCAGGCAGCATGCTACTTCTGTCTACCAAAGGCAATCTGGCAAATGCAAGATTCCTGTAATCTTAACACTAAAAACACAGTTTGCTTTAAGAGTTCCCATACTAGACCTTAGACACTAAGTCTCGGAGGAAAGTTTACCTGTCCATGTTTGCTTCCTGCTGACAGTAGGCTGCAGAGGAAAGTTTACCTGTCCATGTTTGCTTCCTGCTGACAGTAGGCTGCAGAGGAAAGTTTACCTGTCCATGTTTGCTTCCTGCTGACAGTAGGCTGCATAGGAGATGATGTTTTCACGGCTGCACCTCTCAGTGGCCAGAGCACCAACGTACAGTACAAAGTCTGCATCCGGGATGCCTTCTTGGTCTGGCGCACCCGCTGCTCCATGGGGCCACTTACCCCCACGGTAGACTCTGCATTGCTGCACCCACAGGGGACAACAGAAAGCCAGACCAGAGACAAAGTTAGCTACAGTGGCATTTAATCTTACAGTAAAATCTACACTGTAAACAAAAGTAAAATTATATCTTTATTATCTCTAAACTTATATCAAAATCCATACCTCCTTGTCTACTCAATACCTAGCTCTAATTCTGGATTTATTTTACTGAAATGTCTACTTTACATAAAATGATCATAAACCTATAACCTCAATTAAATAATAAGATATCACAAAGGAAGGCCAACCAAGCAGGATGTTAAAAAGACAGAAATATAAAAAGTTTTAAAACTCAGAAACTAGACGAAGGGATTTTCTTATAAGGAATGTTTTTTTGTTTTTTTTCTTTTCAACTTTCTTTCAATCTACAGTTAAGTCTAAACTAAGTGGTAAAAAATTTTTTATCTAACGGAAATATATTTCCTATTATAATTCACATCTTGTCAAAAATTCAAACAATCTAAAGGTATGTAAGGTAAAGTCAAAGTCATCTCATGATATTACCCTTGTTTCTAATCTTCTAAGCAAATCTTTTATTATAAAAAAATTTTTTTTGATATATATAGATGGGGTCTCACTATATTGACCAGGCTGGTCTTGAACTCTTGGCCTCCCAAAGTGCAAGAATTAAGGGATTACAGGCATGAGTCACCACATCCTGCCTGGCAAATCTTATTTGCCTCTGTAATGGTTGCTTTTTTGAAAGCGACTTCTATCAAAATTCCCAAATAATCATAATCTCCAAATCAGAAACAGAAAAATCAGTAAATTGTTTTTATTTAAGGTATAAGCAATGCTTACAGAGGAAAAAAAAAAACAAATTCTCATTTCATTTAACAGAAAATACATTGTTTATTCTTCCTTCTCTAACACATACATTTATAATTTTTAAAATCCATTACTGTAAGGGGTTGGAGTTGAGGAGATGTTGGTCAAAGAATATGTGTTTACAGTTAGTGGAATAAGTTCAAGACACCTATTGTAAAGCACAGTGACTGGTTAATGACAACATGCTGTGTTCTTATTTATTTATTTATTTTGTTTATTTTAAGACGGAGTCTTGCTCTGTTGTCCAGGCTGCAGTGCAGTGGTGTGACCTTGGCTCACTGCAATCTCCACCTCCCAGGTTCAAGCAATTCTCCCTGCCTCAGCCTCCAGAGGAATTGGATCTACAGGTGCCCGCCACCATGTCTGGCTAATTTTTCTATTTTTAGTAGAGACAGGGTTTTGCCATGTTGGCCAGGCTGGTCTTGAATCCCTGACCTCAGGTGATCTGCCCACCTCAGCCTCCCATAATTCTGTGATTACAGGCATGAGCCACCACACCGGGCCTTGTATTTTTTTAAGCAATAGCTTAGCTTAGGCATAATCTGAGATATTTTTATTCATTTATTTATTTTTGAGACAGGGTCTCACTCTGTCACCCAGGTTGGAGTTTAGTGGGAAGATCACAGCTTACCACAACCTCCACCTCCCCGGCTCAAGCAATCCTCCCACCACAGCATCCCAAGTAGCTGGGACCACAGGCACACACCACCACACCTGGCTAATTTTTTGTATAAACAGGGTTTCACCATGTTGCCAAGGGTAGTCTTGAACTCCTGGAGTCAAGCAATCTGTCTACCTTGGCCTTCCAAAGTGCTGGAACTACAAGTATGAGCTACTGTGCCCGGCCTTAATTTTTTATTTTTTTGATATAAGTAATATTCAATATGAAAAATCAGAACATCACAAAAATCTCCATAACTTACCAAAGAAAACCACTTTCCCCAACAATCTCTTAAAGAACACCATTAACATTTTTATATACATCCAGATTTAACATGTGTATGCTTCCAGACTGTTTGATAGTTTTTTATTTTCTGTGTTCCATACTTTCAAATAAAATGGGCTAAAAATAAAAAGATTTGCAACCTTTTTTTTTCATGTAAGAGCTTAAATTTCTTTCCAAGTCAGTTCATAGAGATTTATTTCATTTTTTAACAACTGTACAGTATTCTACTACCATAACTTAACTAATACCCTAAATAGGCATATTTATAGTTTTGCAAAGAACATCTCTGAACATATATTATGCAGCCATTAGTATTTTATGCAATAAATTTCTAGGTTGGGTTGAAGCACACATATTTTTTGTATTAAGAGATGTCAGACTATCCTTTAAAAAACTGAGGTATATACCTGGCCAAAAGAGATTTTGGAAGAGAAAGATAACGTTCTAAGCTGAACAGATTCAGCAGATCAAGATAAATAGCGGTGGGGAGGCCTGTGGGGAGGAGTGAGGAAAGAAAATATAATTAAACTCACTTGAAAGCTAATGAAAGAATAAAATCAGCATATCTAACTGTGATTACTTTTTGTAGACCAAGGAACCTACTAAGACTTTGACCTTGAATCTGTAAAAATGATCTGACACTCACAAATTAAAATCTCCTCAAGTGTAAAAACATTGCTAAGAGCAGGATGAAATACCTGGAGATGTTCCTCTGGAACAATAACTGGGCCGCATTTTGTGTGCACTGCACATTCCCCAGTGCAGTATCTATGAGGATCATTTTCCTTCCGGAGGTATTGGTTTGTGGCACATTGTCTTAAGTTCATTTGTAAATCAAAGTTTAAATACAAAAAAGAGAATATTATGTAGCAGTTAAAAACATGGTAATCAACTGGTAGCTGCTATGTTACTTCATTAATAACGTTACTATTTTAGTTAGGAAAGTAGGCTAAGAAAGAATTTGGGTTCTATAGGAAATTTGGGTTTCTAAATGATTTGAGTTTTTAAATACTCAAATGCTTCATAAAGCTAACACTGTATACACATGAACATGGGAAAAAGCGGATTTGGAGAACAGAGGACAACCAAATCCCCGAAAAAATTCAGTAGGCCATCACATAATGAAAGATCAGGGAAAGAATGATTATCCAGCAGATGCGTTTTTATTCTTTTAAAATACCTTGCAGTTTGATCTCTAAGAATAAGCACAATAAAATTCTAGTATAAGCTTCACATCTTGCCATATTTGTAGAATGGGAAAGGCAGAGTACTGAGTGGCCGAAGAAAATCACCTGTATTTAATGAGACATACCTGCTAAGTAAGATAGTGCCAGCAGGTCTACGGACCTGAAAAGTCTTCTCTAAATAAGAAATAGCTTGTGGGAAAAGCTTGTTCTAAATAAAAGTTAAAAAAACAGTTAGAATTATAAGGAAGAGATAAATTATATTTAAAACAAGCAAGCACAGGATATTAATGACTAAGGGGACAAACGGGAAACACTTTATAATTATGGAATACAGATACTAGTTGGTCAAGGTTGTAGAGCAAGGGGTAGGAAGAGGGTAAGTCCAGTAGGAAAAGAATTTCCCCATTTTCTAGTTCAACTTGGGAAAACAGTACTAGGTAGACATTTCCTTCCCTAACCCCATTTAAATAGAAAGCCAGAAAACATGTATCTCAACTATTTTTTATTTTTAATTAAATATTAATTTCCTTTGATACTATACCTTTAACAAAACTGCAATATATCTCAACTATATTAATATAGATTACTACGAATGACAGGCTGACTTAGATGATTCCAACACTAAAATAGTTTATGTTAAGAAAATCTTATGTTTAATTAAACTCACCAATTTCTGTGGCCCATAGTCAACTGGCTTTGTGTGTCTGCATGTGTGCATGTGTGTGTCTGCGTGTGTGCATGTCTGCATGTGTGTCCGTGTGTGCCTGCATGTGTGTGTCTGCATGTGTGCGTGTATGTGCATGTCTGTGTATGTGCATGTCTGTGTGTGTACATGTCTGCATGTGTGCGTGTGTGTGTGCGTGTCTGCATGTGTGCGTGTGTGTGTGCATGTCTGTGTGTGTGTCTGTGTCTGCGTGTGTGTGTGTGCGCGCGTGTGTGTGTGTATATGTGTGTGTGTGTGTCTCCATATAGTTAAAAATCTAATGTGGTTATCAGGTCAATCTTCAGGAAAATAAACATTTCCACCAAGAGAACAGTGTTCTCAATGTATTTCAAAAATTGTCTTTTTCACCCTATTCTCTGAATGATTTGCTCCCCAAAAACCTGAGAGAGCAAGCAATAAAAGGAGAAGACTAACAAATTATTTTAAAATGACTAATTTAATGCCAAATACCAACGAAGTTTTCATGAGTGCATCGCAAAGACACCTTTGATAAATACTTTCACTACCAACACCTTTTATTCAGTCATTCACAAAAGTCATGTATATATTTTACTTTAATGAAGTAGAATTTACATATAATAAAATTGTAAATGTCCAATTCAAGCTATGAGTATTTATTACATACCTTTACAAGATTTTTTTTCTCAGGGAGCAACCTGAAAATAATGACATAAAAACATAAGAATTACCTCTCAGAGGTGTAGCACTATCTCATCTGTTCAGAATGCATCTGTAAAGAGCCCCAAGGAATCCTATATGCATAAAATAACTGTCCTCCAAAATTTCAACTTACCTCACTGAGTATTTGAGAGTTTACTCTGTGCCACAACATGGCACTAAGCATGATCATGTCATTTCATTCATTTGGAAAGGATAGGGAAAGACCACTCCTAACAGCTCTTCATGAACTACTGTAGATTCATAATTTATCTGTGTTCTGGATCCCACTTACATGAAATAAAAATCAGACTAGCCGGGCGCGGTGGCTCAAGCCTGTAATCCCAGCACTTTGGGAGGCCGAGGCGGGTGGATCACGAGGTCAAGAATCCAGACCATCCTGGTCAACATGGTGAAACCCCGTCTCTACTAAAACTACAAAAAATTAGCTGGGCATGGTGGCGCGTGTCTGTAATCCCAGCTACTCAGGAGGCTGAGGCAGGAGAATTGCCTGAACCCAGGAGGCGGAGGTTGCGGTGAGCCGAGATCGCGCCATTGCACTCTAGCCTGGGTAACAAGAGCGAAACTCTGTCTCAAAAAAAAAAAAAAAAATCAGACTAATCTCTCTGGTTAATAATTTCATAAACTTTCTTATTATTGTTTATATTAGTACTTATTTTTTCCTCCAAGTGTCAGAGATGTTTGAACCAGAGCAACTCCATCTTCAGTAGTGGCTGGGTAAAATAAGGCTGAGCCCTAATGGGCTGCATTCCTGGATGATTATGCATTCTAAGTCGCAGGATGAGGCAGGAGGTCGGCCCAAGATACAGGTCATAAAGACTTTGCTGATAAAACAGGTTGCAATAAGGAAGCTGGCTAAATCCCACCAAAACCAAGATGGCGACAAGAGTGACCTCTGGTCATCCTCACTGCTACACTCCCACCAGCGCCATGACAGTTTGCAAATGCCGAGGCAATGTCAGGAAGTTACCCTACACGGTCTAAAAAAGGGGAGGCATGAATAATCCACCCCTTGGTTAGCATGTAATTAAGAAATCACCATAAAAAATGGGCAATCACAGCCCTTCGGGCTGCTTTGCCTATGGAGTAGCCATTCTTTTATTCCTTTACTTTTCTAATAATCTTGCTTTCACTTTACTCTATGGCTTTGCTTCTAATTCTTCTTGTGAGAGACCAAAGAATCGTCTCTTGGGGTCTGGAACAGGACCTCTTTCCAGTAACATGAGTTTTTAATTGAAGAGAACTTTTGGGTCTATTACTGTCCACATCCAAGTAGATCCACATTTGTTCTGTTTAAATTGTTCATGATTTACCAGGAAAGGAAGATGGAAAAAAGAAAGTTATTCATGATATATAAACTTTAATCATATTCCATGGCCTTCATATTTTCAGACTCAAATGCATTTTCAGCTTAATTCCACTTTGAAGCTACATGAGTCCTTTTAAAGTTTTATCTATAGACTTTTAAAACTTCAGGTAACAGGTGAAAATATCTTTAACATTTAGACTAATAATGTAAAAGATGACAATATAATGATGTACTTACTCTTCGACACTTTTATCATAAACAGTCTTGATTCTTAAATGCTCATCAACGTCTCTCTTTACTACATGATTTGCCTTAAGATGAACTTTATTTATGACCTGAAAAAAGGGAACAAATTTGAAAATTTTTTAAAAATACATATAGATTAACCCATTGAGATCTAAAGTTAAAATTAACAAACTAAATTTCAAGTACAATACACAGAGAAAAAGTCCCTTGGCCCAAATTCCACCATTTCAGCATTCTTTTTTTTGGGGGGGCGGAGTCTTGCTCTGTCACCATGCTGGAGTGCAGTGGTGCAATCTCGGCTCACTGCAACCTCCACCTCCTGGGTTCAAGCGATTCTTCCGCCTCAGCCTCCCGAGTAGCTGGGACCACAGGCACGTGCCACCATGCCCGGCTAATTTTTGTATTTTTAGTAGAGACAGGGTTTCACCACGTTGGCCAGGATGGTCTCGATCTCTTGACCTCGTGATCCACCCACCTTGGCCTCCCAAAGTGCTGGGATTACAGGTGTGAGCCACTGCGGCCAGCATATTTTAGCATTCTTTTTTTTTTTTTGAGACGGAGTTTCACTCTTGTTACCCAGGCTGGAGTGCAATGGCGCGATCTCGGCTCACCGCAACCTCCGCCTCCTGGGTTCAGGCAATTCTCCTGCCTCAGCCTCCTGAGTAGCTGGGATTACAGGCACGCGCCACCATGCCCAGCTAATTTTTTGTAGTTTTAGTAGAGACAGGGTTTCACCGTGTTGACCAGGGTGGTCTCGATCTCTTCACCTCATGATCCACCCGCCTCGGCCTCCCAAAGTGCTGGGATTACAGGCTTGAGCCACCGCGCCCGGCCCATTTTAGCATTCTTAAACCTCAAAGATCTCCCAAGCAAATGCTATCATTTGGAAGACAAGTACCATGAATTCAAGTCACATGACTAAATCATTATGGAAACAGTAGCTGTCAATAGGCTTTTAGGGTTCTCTGTCACTTATTTGTAGTTTCTTACATAAATTCCAGTTTTGCCAATTTCGGGTCTTCAGAAAATGATGGGAAGAAACCAAAAGTATCTTCAATTACTTTAATATAGGACAAAAATTTATTTACAAAAGAGTTTTTCATTTTGAACTTTTTTCTCCCGTTCTCATGTACCATTTACATCATTTTTTCAGGGATGAATAAAAAAAGACAAGAAAGGTTTCAGCAGTATCAGCACTTTATGGAACCCTAAATGTATAGAAGAAAAAAATGTGTTTGTTAAACTAAAAATGAACTATATAATATCTCATTAATATAACTCCAGCAATGAACCTGAACAATGAACAATCTGAAGATTTACATAAGAAAATAGAATTTTGTATTTTGTAGAAAAACAACTATATTGTATGTGTTTGATCTATTAATATAGTAATAGTCACAGATTTTCACAATACTTATTGCCTGCTCTACTACAACGACCTGACTCCCTACCTCCAGTCTTTTACTCATTCCATTCCAACCTATCCCCAGGTAACAGATTATTTTATGGCCATTAAAAAACCATCAGAAAGGTCTGGGCACAGCAAATGGATATGGTACATTTTAGGAACCCATTACATGACTAATCTCCCTGCAGATAACACATTACAAAATCCGGACAAAATACAATCTCTGACAGTTCTTGGGGGAGGGAGAAAGACAGGAAGAATTTGGAAGAATCTACTGTTAGAATACAGGAATTATAACTCTGAGATTTGCAAGTCTAACTTTTGCCTGAGAGCACAGTACCCAATCTGTATCTCTTGGTGTGGCAGGAGGTCAGAGCCTCCCTGACTTGAGGAGCTACAGCAAAATGTTCAGAATTTGCATCACCAGCAAGTCAGAAGTTAGAGAGGAAATCTTGCAAGAGAAGAAGCCACAGAAGGTACCCCAAAATCTGCATATGAAACCCAGTCAAATTGTTAACAGACCATTAGATTCCATGTCTGACGACAAAATTACAAATGTATGCAATAAAACCCAGCAAAGAATAACTTGCCAACAACAGGAGATACGGAGTTTGGAATTTTGAACACAGTTAAGTTAAATGCCAGCTACCAAAACAAACAAACAAAACACAAAAAAAATACTTCAGAGAAATACAACAGAATCCAGACACTTTACAACGCATTACCTATGGTGTCCATTATTTAATAAAAAATCAGCAGCAAGGAGAACAAAATCGAAAAATGTGACCCACACTGGGGGAAAAAAGCAGGGAATAGAAACAGACCCTAAAATGACCTAAATTTAAACAATTACTTTAATGCAGCTTAAATGTGTTCAGGAACTTAAAAGAAAACATACATATAATGAGTAAGTAGATAGGGAACCTCAGGAGAGAAACTATGAAAAGAACCAAATGGAAATTCTAGAGCTTAAAAGTACAATAACTAAAAAATTCACTGGGGCTGGGCGCGGTGGCTCACACCTGTAATTCCAGCACTTTGGGAGGCCAGGCAGGTGGGCCACTTGAGGTCAGGAGTTCGAGACCAGGCTGGCCAACATGGCGAGACCCCGTCTCTACTAAAAATACAAAATTTAGTGGGCCATGTTGGTGCACACCTGTAATCCCGGCTACTCCGGAGGCTGAGGCATGAGAATCACTTGAATCTGGGAGGTGGAGGTTGCAGTGAGTCGAGACCACGCCATCACCCTCCAGCCTGGGTGACAGAGCAAGACTCTGTTTCCAAAAAAAAAAAAAAAACTCACTGAAAAGAATTAAAAGAAAATTGGAGATGGCAGCAGCATCAGTGAACTTGAAGATAGATCTAGAGAAATTATCCAATCCAAAGAAGAGAAATATGAAAGACTAAAAAATTTAAAAAACCAGAGCCTCAGAGAATGGATACCAAGCAATCTAACAGATATGTAATTAGAGTCCTACAAGGACAGGAGAAATTATATTTGAAAGAAATAACAGCTAAAATTTTTCAAATTTGCTGAAAGATATCAACTTACAGATCCAAGAAGTTCATAAACCTCAAGCAGGATAAAAAAACAAATGAGGCTGGGCACAGTGGCTCATGTCTGTAATCCCAGCTACTCAGGATGCTGAGGCATGAGAGTCACTTGAAGCCAGGATGTGGAGGTTTAAGTGAGCCAAGATCGTGCCACTGAACTCCAGCCTGGGCAACAGGGCAAGACTCTGTCGCATTAAAACGCACACACACACACACACACACAGACACCACGCAGGTATACCATAGGCAAACTTGTGAAATCTGAAAATAAAGATAAAATACTGAAAGCAATGAGAGGAAAAACAACACATTTGATATGGTTTGGCTCTGTATCCCCAACCAAATTTCATCTTGAATTGTAATCCCACGTTTGGAGGGTGGGAGGTGATTGGATCATAGGGATATTTCCCCATGCTGTTCTCAGGATAGTGAGTGAGTTTTCACAAGATCTGATGGTTTTATAAGCCTCTGGTATTTCCCATGCCTGAACTTCTCTCTCCTGCTGCGATGTAAAGAAGGTCCTTGCTTCTCCTTTGTCTTCGCCATGATTTTAAGTTTCCTGAGGCCTCCCCAGCCAATGTGGAACTGTAAACCTCTTTCCTTTATAAATTACCCAGTCTTGGGTAGTATCTTTATAACAGTCTGAGAACAGACAAATACAAGATTATATATAGGAAGGGAAAAGAAGTACGAATGGCACTGACTTTCCATCAAGAACTGTAAAGTACAGAAGACAATGAAATAAACAGTAAAGGGCTAAAAGAAAGAAATTCAACACGGAAGTCTATATCCAATGAAACTAACCTTTAAAAGTGAAGAGGAAATAAAGACATTTCAGATAAACCTAAGAAAAATTCATCATCAGCAGACCTACCACAAGAAATGCTAAAGGAAGTTCTTCGTGGGAATGGAAATGACACTAAAGGGTAACCTGCTTCTGTAGGAAGGAATGTAGACTAGTGGAAATGGTAAACATATAAATAGATATAAAAGACTATTGTGCAAATACAGCTTGTTCTCTGTAGGAAGGCCCAGTGGTAAGGTTGACCTTTGACTGGCATCTGGGTACCTGGATGGTAAGCACTTCCCTATACTGATCTAAAACTTCACTAGGTTATAAGGGTGGCTCATTGTGTCTAAACTATTTACAGAAACAATATGGCATATGCTGAACATTTGCTTGCTTCTGGAGTCTGAAATTTCAGTGGCTGAAATTCTGTCTACATGACCAGCCTCCAATAAAATCCCTGGACTCTAAGAATCAGGTGATCTTCCCTGGTAGACTACATTTTGTGCATGCTGTAACAACACACTGCTGAAGGAATTAAGCAGGTCCTTTGTGACTCTACTAAGACAGGACTCTTGGAAGTTTTTACCTAATTTCCTCTAGTCTTTGCCCCATGATCTTTTTTCTTTGCTGATTTTACTTTGTATGCTTTCACTGTAATAAATTTCAGTTGTGAGTATAACTACAAGCGGAGTCCGGCGAGGCCACCTAGCAATCGCCAAACCTGGAGTGGTCTTGGTAACCCTCAACACAATTATATACACTTCTTTTCTTCTTTCAAATTCTTTAAAGACAAATAAATACTTAAAGCAAAAATTGTAAAATTTTAAATTGTAAAGTTTTTTTTTAAATTTATTTTTTTTATTTATTTTCTTTTTTTCTGAGACAGAGTCTCAGACTCTGTTGCCCAGACTGGAGTGCTGTGGTCCAATCTTGGCTCACTGCAACCTCTGCTTCCTGAGTTCAAGTGATTCTCCTGCCTCAGCCTCTTGTGAAGCTAGGATTACAGGTGCCCACGACCATGACCAGGTAATTTTTTTACTTTTAGTAGAGACAGGGTTTCACCATGTTGGCGAGGCTGGTCTTGAATTCCTGACCTCAGGTGATCTGCCAGCCTCAGTCTCCCAAAGTACTGGGATTACAGTCATGAGCCACTATGCTGGCCTAATTGTGAGGTTTATAATATATGAAGAAGTAATATATATTCCAGTAAGAGAGAAATAAATGAAATTATGCTGTTGAAATTTCCTATATTTAACATGACTATTTTTTAAGTTTTAGTTTAAGTAGGTGTCATAAGTACACTACATATACTGTAATCACTGGAGCAAACACTCAAT